CGTCGTCGTCGTACGACGTCTACACACCGACACACACACACACACACACACACACACACACATATATATATATATATATATATATAATCGAATATTCGTCCGAAGAATCTAAACAGAAATGTGTACCATAATATAATATTCAATTCCATTGATATGTGCAGTTCATGTATTGAGACATGTTGTAAATTCGTTACAAACTATCCTGAATAGACCGAGAAAGAACTCCACATAGTTACGATGATTTGTGATAGCCGTTTGCTTCTTCTTACCAGTCTCGTCTTTTTCGTTGGAACTCCACATTTCTGCTGTCGGCCGATAGGTACTTTACCTTTCACTCTGCATTCCGATATTAACAAAACATTTCATATTGCGATGATGTCTCTATCGGCATTAGATTGCGAATTTAATCAACCCGACACCGAGAGCCACGACCATACCACTCTACCTCTGATGCTTTTGGTATACTTACGTATCCAAATAAAGGTATTTAACATATGGATAGTGTTTCTGTATGTAAGTAAGTATGTGTGTATGTATTATATATACATATGTATTTATATGCATATATGCATACTTGCGACACTATAGGTATTCTGATGTTTATCAGTTGCTACATACCCGCCTTCCAGGCCATGCCCAATCAATTACTATTTACAACATACTTTTCTAAACAAATGCTCTATTTTTTTTTTCGCCAACAAACTGAGATTTTGTGAAATAGAACGAATCTGACCATGTCCCACAGTCTCGCTCAGAAATAAAATATAATCATCAGAATAAGGCTGAACGGATTAACGTCCGCAGGATATCTGACCAGGCGAATTGTTGCTTGTACAGCCATGGCGGGTTCATACCATGCACAAAATGTGCGTGTCTTTGGGCCCCTTCCTCCCACAAAGATATATTCAGTAAATACTACTTCACTCAAATGAGATATTCATGCCACGTCTCATCGCTTTTGCATTCATTGATATTGTTCCGCAATATAGGCGCAATCACCAAGGCTCAGTCCCTCATTAAAAATTATAGTTATCGTTTTTTTCCCAATAACATATGGCTATGAAATAAATCGAAACCGCTCCATCTGATACCCGATGTCACTTACTATGCACTTCTCTCAATATGTATGTAGGAATTTCAGAATCAAGTACATCTGCTTTTGAATACTGTACGTGGGCGCACATCCTAAACATGTGTACAGAAGTCTACGCTTGTTTATACTATGGTTAAATATAAGCTCATAGTTAGTGATTAGCAGACACTGTGCACTTTATTGCACACGAACTTCCTGGCTTGAATATTTCTTTCCACGTATGTTCAGAAGCCAATTCTACTCATTTCTGTATTCTTCTTATATTCTTCAGTCTTATATATA